GCTTTAACTTATTAGATAAACATAGTCAAAGAGAATGATGTCTTTAAGAAAACAGGCCCCGTGCCGGTATACTCGGGTCAATGCTAAGAAAGAACAAGCTTCTGAGCAAGCTCTGGTAATTTCTTCCAACATGAACTTCATAAATCACAGTCAGAAGCGTCCAGGATTTCAATTGTCAGCTGACTGAGTCGGCCACAAGGAAGACCCGGTAGCCCTGACCGTGGCCTCCCATGTTTTACAAAAGGTGGGATCACTCACCTTTCCAACTTCACAAGTGCCTCGGAGGAGGAAGTAGAATCTAGTCGCTGTCTTGTCAGTCTCCTACCTGGCTATTCTTCCAGCCGCTCTGCAGTGCTGGGTAAATTCTTGGGAAGATTGAATACTCCCACCCCCAGTCCTTTCCAGTCACCTGTCCCGGGTGGTGTTCCTAAGAACTGGGTGGGGGGAGACCCTTGCTCAGGGATCCTACCAATCACATCTGAAGAACTTCCCCTGGGCTGCCACAGGTCCAAGGCGCTAATAAACACAAAATCTTTGCCTCTTGCCTGCCTGCCCCGGGGCCTCCTGCAGTAAGGAAAAGTCTGCAGACTCAAATGAGGAAAACTGACAACATTTATTTTGCACATTAACATCACCCCATCAGAATTTAATTATAGCAAGAATTAGAATTATTTCTATTAGAGAGTTGTTTACTTTTCAAAGGAAAGGTTCTTGATGGGTTCTGTAACAAATTAGATGTCTTTCAGGAAGAGCTGTTTGCCCTCATTATGTTTAACTGTGTCGCATTAAATGAACAGGGTAGCACACACAGTTTTTAAGTCACAGCCCAGGTGCATTAGCCCAGGTGTCTTAAAGCCATGGCTTCAAGCCATGGTACAAATGAAGGCAATGCCACAGGTCCCCCCTCAATCCCAGGTAGCCCCCTGCCGGAACACCTTCAGCCCAGCCTGAGACCCTTCTCCTCCACCAACTTTCCCAGAACACAGCTGAAAAGCAGGACTGACTACACCTCAGGAAATCCAAGACGTCGACGGAACCAACAGGTCAATACAAATCAGCACCTAAACACCAACTGAAACTTGGTTCTTAAACATACAATGAAACCAAGGCTATCAGCCGGTTTGGAAAAGTAAAAGAGGAAAAATGACTGGGATAATCTGGAGGGCCCACCATGAACATTTTATTGACATATCCCCTTAACCTGGCTTTTTGTTTGGTTTGGTTGCTATTTAAGGTTACATCTCTAGATGTGCTTAGGGAAAGTTAATTTATTCTAAATCTTTATCAGGGTATAATAAAATGTATCCAAATGCTAATGTCAACAAATGTTTATTAAATCAGAAATCACAAATGGATTCACAATTTCTTTGCCATTATTAGTTGTATAACACAGACAGCAAATTGTGTGTCTAATTATGCCATTAAAGTTCCCTTTTCACTCCATGATCAACCCTCACACAGTTTTCTCAGTGTCAAGCACACACGGGCAATCCTGTCCCTAAAGTGCCCAGCACAACTGAACATCCAGGTATAAACTGCAGTGGGGCACAAGGGCACAGATCCCCTCTTCAAAAGGCTTGGACAAAATGAATGGCCATACGTAAGAAGTGTCTCTGTGCTTTGCTATAATAAGATTCAAACACGGGATTCCAAGAATTCCACCTGTTTTCAATTAGATACCAGAATTGCTTGAGTGTTTAAACTACATTCACTTGCTACTTATACAAAACAATTCTTCCGGGTTTTTTGAACATTTTAAGTATGTTAAAATAAGATTAAGGGTCTGGTTTAAACAATCAGAGGCAGGGGAATTTCAGCTGAAACCAAAACTATCTCTCTGCAGCCATAACGCAAAGGCTTCAGACAAAACAATAGGATGAAATACACGAATTTCAGTCTTCGACAATTACTTGTAAAAATCAGACCTGTCATAGGGAAAGCTACTTTATGTATACACATATATGAATGTTTGTTATATAATGTATATAATACATTAAAATGGGTTTTCAAATAATTTCTAAAAATACAAGATCCTATATATTTAATGTTTATAGTAACTTTTTGTTATCGCTGTGTTACAGTCAGATACATCTGTCTTTTAAATCAGTGAAACTGACATGACGCCAATCATGTGAAGTGAAAAAATATGGGAGTACAGGTAGGAATCCAGCCTAGCCCTTGCAGGATTTTTCACACGATGGATTTCTCTTTTTAAAAGGGATTTTTCACACGATGGATTTCTCTTTTTAAAAAATGTACAACTTTTCCTTCAACAATTTTGCCCTCCCTTCATTTCACTGTGGATGTTCCTTATGCTTTTACAGATGAGCTGAAAACACACATGGGTTTTTCTACTGGGAGCCTTGTTTTTTCCCTTAGGATGTGAGCACAGCCTCAGGAGGAGTTTAGACTACTGACTGCTCCAGGCAGAGGCAAAGTTGGGGGGTCCCAAGGTACAGCCTGGTGCTTCTGAACAGGGACCCCTTATGCCCCCACTCAGCCTACCTTTCCCCCATCCCGCCCCAAGCAAACCCTGGTGGGTTTGTTTGAATTGCATACAACAGGGCAGAGGACTTTTGCAACAGTCACTAAAGGTCTTGGGCTCAACTGACTCACCAGACAGCATTTTTAAGGTCAGCTCAGTGGATTAGGAGAGTTATTCCTGAGGAGAGGCAATCTGTCCCTTCCCCACTTTCTCATGTCGCTAACTACAGGCAGATGGGTGAAACTGGGGGAAAAGGGAGAAGGGGGCCTCTATGGACCCACCACTGCAAGAGGTGCTGCATAACTTAACCTCTTCCCTGACTTACACTTTTTTAAAAAAGCAAGCAAACATACAACTCCCCCTACTCTCCTCCCCCCAGAAAAAACCTACGCAGTTTCATGGGGGGAAAAAAACTTTAATCAACTGATAATGACCCCTTCCCACACACAATCTCTAAGACACTGATATTAAGAGAACCAAAAAAACAAAGGCAGCAGCTGTGTGGAACCCTGTCCCCTACTTGTTTACTCTTTATTTTAAACGGTCCTAGATGAGATACAAATTGTAATCAAAATAATATACTTCATTTGGGGAAGCATCCTGGATGGCTGGTAACGTACACACTTCCTTAACAGGAGAAAACAAAATAAAAGCACCCAGAAAATGGACTTGTAGCAAAAATGAAATTGCTTTCTTATTTTGAAAAAAAAAAAGAGGAAAACGTTTAAAGGTTACTTCTGCAGAGGTTCCTTAAAGGGAAAGACTAGTCACCATGTAGGAATAATGCTCCGAAGGGAAGCCAGGCACTGGCAAAAAGCTACCCTAACATACAGAGTTACATGAGCTTGTTTTAGAAAGTGTCCTCTTTCCAAACGTGTATTTAAAAGGCAAATTTATACAATGGTGTTTTTCTTACTTAAAAAAAAAAAAAAAGCCTGGTTTTTACAAGTCTGGGATAGGATAAAAAACTTGTCCAACTAGTCTTAGCAAGGCCAGAGCCCTGAAACTCCCATACCACAAGACTTTGGGACTAAAAAGGAAACAAAATAGAGCTCAGTCTGCAGAAACTCTTCCTGGGCACTCACTCCACGTCCCAAAGCAGCTTCAAGGCAGACCGAGCCGAGGGCCCAGGGCTCAGCCCCAGGTCCCTGTGTCAAGCGAAGGGCTCCCAATTGGACCCTGGGGGACCCAGTCTCTTTACCCTCAGGTAGCAATAGCACCACCCTCACTTCGCTCCGCAGGCAACCCGAGCTCGGAATAAGGGGTTCTGGAAAGATGAGAGGAGTCTGAAACTAATGAATTCTCTCTTCTCAAACTGCAGTTGCACTGGCTCACTTACTGTCTGTGGGAACAGAGATGACGTTACACCAGATATCAACTCAAAAGGCCTCTTCAGGGCCCAGAGAAAGAACCACTTTCACCTTCTAGAACCTGGGCATCCCATAGGCAACTGAAGGTTTTCAAATAGGTGATGAAGTGGCATTCAAAAACCGTCTAAGGCCAAATCTTCCATCCATCACCAAAAACCAGTAGGCTGCTCAGTAAAGAGAACGAGCTTCAAATAAAGAATTTTTTAAATTCAAGATCAACATCTGAAAGTTCTTGCTCATGAACTGACAGGGAAACTTTTCATTAAAGTTACACACCTAAATGCAACCCCCCCAAGTACTACACTGAAGATGTAACTAATCACCAAGGAGTGGGTGGGGGATCAAAGAGGTCATAAAATCTAGTAACTCCAGAGAAACCGAATCCATCTCCCAAGCAGTTTTTGCCAAGACACTTAAGAAAGAAACCACCTTGGTATTAGCCTGGAATGTCACATTTAGGAAGACAAGGGGAAAAAAAATTAAGGTTTGTCTCCTAAAACTCCACAACGGGTTTTACAGTAAGCTCAGGAATTAAATTATGGTAAAAGGGAGCTATTTTTACTAAAACAGGGTAGACCAATTTATCAAAAATGCCATTCGGCTGTGTTCATTACACTCAGGAATCTAATTTACACAATAGACACTTTGGAGTAATCTATTTTAGTCAATAAACACTCAAACTCCTTTAAGTTTTAATCTTATCGGAAATACATATTTCACATAGTCTTCTTCCTAGTTAAGTGAGAAATTTGAAGAAATCTCATAACGGCCCTGAGTCTGCTTTATCGTTCTTACTACGCAGGCAAGGGCAGAAAACAAGCATATACAATTAAAGTTGTCAGACTCCGTTTACATACGTTTTAATCCAATCCGCTGCATTTCATGCAAGTCCGCATCTGGAGTTCATTTCCTTTCCTCCTAAAAGTACTGTAGGTCACTCTCACCAGTGCTCCGGGTTAGGAAAGTTCGGCCAAGTTTACCTTCAAGCACACCTTAGAGCTGAGAGCAATAGCTGTCCCACAAGGACACTGAGGGACCCTCCCCAACCCGGAGCTCCCGGCCGCCCTGGGCCCCTCTAAGCCGCGGACGCCTCTCCAACCCCCAACGCCAGCGCTCGCCGAGCTTCTGGCCCACACGCCGCTCACCTTCAACTTGGCTCCGGCTACGCACAACATCCACCTGGCAGAGTCCCGGGGCTGTCCAGGAGCCGCCAGCGCGGAGCTGGCAGGTCCCAGGCGGACCCCGAGGGCGCGCTGCTCCCCGGGGTGGTGGGTGGCAGGCAGGAACGCGCCCCCTGGGCACGGCTGCGGCTCGGGCGACGGATGGGGAGCCCCAGCACGATCCCCCCTCGGCGCCTGGGGTTGGGTGCGTGGACCACGGCCCGGCACACCGCTGTCCAGTGGGACACCCGGGGCTTTGCTTTCGAGAACACGATCGGGGTAGGCATTTCGGAGCGGACCCGCCGCGCTCTCCATTGCCCACCCACCCCCCCACCCGCCGCCGCCGCCGCCGCCGCCGCCGCCGCGGCGGACCCTGCTGTGAGGGCAGGACCTCGGAGAAGAGGAGCCGAGAGGAGCTGATGGGTCACTGGAGGCCGCGGGAAGCCCCGGGAGGGGGGCGAAGGCCGCCCGGATAGGCGGCGTGGAGCAAGCGCCCCGGGCCGCGACAGACCGCGCACCCGGGCGCAGAGGCGGGCCTGCGCTCGGGGAAAGTTGCAGTCCGGCGCCGGCGCCCGCACCCGCGACCCCGGGACACCCCGACCCCCGGGGTCCGCGTGCCGGGCGCCCGCTGCCTCCCGCAAGTTTCCCCGAGCGCCCCTACCCGGGTTCCCGGCCGCGGAGGGGCCGGTCCTCGCCGCTCGTGCAGGCACACAAAAGAGCCGGGCGACTGCGGGGTCTGCGGGTGGCCCCCCGGGCGCCCGCCCGGACGTAAACAAACCCCGGGGTCCACGCAGAGGGAGCCCCACTCCGGGCGCGGGAGCGGCGGCGCGGTCCCGGCCCGCTGACAGCCCGGGGCTGGGGGCGGGGGGCGGCGGCGGCCGGGGCCCCAGCCTGCCGGGGCCCGGGGAGCGCGGACGCCCGCCCGGCCACCCGCCCGCCTGGCCGGAGCCGAGCCGGGCCGCGCCGCCGCCGCCGCCGGTGGCCGCTCTGACCCTCCCCCGAGCCGGCGGCACCACAGCGCCACCAGCCCCAGCTCCGCCGCGCCGGCGGCTCCTCCTGGAGAGGCAGGCGCTTCACCCCCACAGCAACTCCCCACAAACTTTCCCCGGGAATACGGCGGGCCGGGGGCGCGGGGCGCGCGACCGGGCGCTGCCGCCGCCGCCGGGCCGCAGCCCCCTCCTGGCGCAGCGGCCGCCGCCGCCGCCCGCCCGCCCGCCAGCCAGCCGCCCGCTCCCCCGGCTCGCGCGCGCGCCCCGCGGGCCGCCGGGGCCGCCCCCTCCCCGGGTCCCGCGGCGGCGGCGGCGCAGGGCCGGGGGGGGGGGGGCGCCCCGGGGTGGGGGCCGACACCGGGGGCAGCGGTGGCGGCGGCGGCGGCTCCCGGCGCCATCTTGGGCTGATCGATGAATTGAACAAAGAGGATCAATTTCTGATCAAGCGAGTTATCAATGGGGGCCGGGGAGCGAGAGGGACTTGTCCCCGACTCGGCCCCGCGTTCCCCCGGCACCCCCCTCCTCCCCGCCGCCGCGGCCCCCCGGCGGCCGGGCGGCCCGGGGTCCCGGGGGGAGGCCGCGACCGCCCGCAGCCCCCACCCCCGGGCGAGAGGCCGAGCGAGGAGAAGCCTGACCTGCAGCTGCTGTAAATCAAAGCGCTTCCAATATTGAAACATCGATCCCACATTGGCCGCCATCTTGAGACATATTGAGACGGAGTGAGAGGCTGATAGAGAGGGGGCTGGAGTTCAGGAGCCGCCAGGAGGCAGCAGGCGGGCGGCGCCAAAACCCGGCCTGGAGCCGGCCGCCGCCGCCGCCACGGAGCACGCGGACTCCTCCTCACGGCGCCGCCGCAGCCATGGCGAGCCCGAGCCGGAGCCGGAGCCGGAGCCCGAGGGCGCGGCGGGCCGCAGCCGCCGGGCCCCTCGCGCGCGCGCGCGCGCGGCCCCTGCCCGCTCCCCCGCCGCGCCCGCCGCCAGGCCCGCGACCCCCGCCCCTCCCGAGACCCCGGCCCTGGCGGGGCGGCGGCGGCTGCCGACGGCCCGGCCCCAAGGGGGCGCTGGAGGGCGACGAGAGGGGGGCGCCCCCGGGCCCCCCGTGGGAGGGCCCCGAGCCCGGCTCACCTGGGGCGGTTTTCGGGCGCGCCTGGGGTGGGGCTGGCGGAGGGGGGGGTGCGGGGGTCGCCGTTGCCGACTCCGCGCAGCCCCTCCTGGACCCTGGGCAGGGAGCCGGCGGCAGTTTGGTCGGGCGAGCGCCGGCCACGCGCCGCTTTGCGCTCTCCCTCCTGCGGGGCGCCGAGCTAGCGGAGCCGCCGCGACCACCTGCCCGAGCCCCGACCCCGCGCGAACCGGGCCCACGGCCGCGGGGCGGATACGAGGCGTGCCGGCGGTCGGCGGCCGCACACCTCTTCGCTGCGCCCCAGCCGGATTCACAGACCGAGTCAGCCGGGAACAGCGTTTCACGTTGGGGGACACCGGGCCGGGAGAAGGCAGCACTGAACCCGTGTAGCTGCGCCAGTTAGCGTCCCGCACAGTGGCCGCGCGGTACCGCGCCGCACCGCACCCCCGGTGGCGAGGGGCTCCAGTGGCCCCCACCTGCCCGAGCTGTGCCAGCTTGGGCCACGACAGGAAAAGTCTTGGAGCCCAGTTCTGTATCCCCCCACACCGCTTCAGCGAAACAGCCCCAGAAACTTCCTGTGGTTTCAGACACATCGGTTTGGGTGCAAAAACTTGGAAAGTGTGGGTACACTTACAAGGAAAAGCATGGTCCCCGGTTTACAGGAATGCTAAAACCCCAAAGTCAATTTTCTTTTGATTTCTTTCTTAGCAGAAACCTGGCAAAAAGCACAAGTTTTATGATCGTCATCTTTAATTGATTACACACACGTGTGAGTTTGAGTTTCCAGTAGGAATACAGTACTTTTACTCTCTCGCACTTCATTTAACGTGTAATTAGTTAAAACAAATCCCCAAATTCCTTAATCTTGAAAATTATATGTAAATAAAATCTGTAGGGAATACAAAATAAAACATGTAAGTGGGATATAAGTGCTTTTCAACTGAGTTCGAAAGTTTTAACGCTGATCGTTGGAGTGAACTCAGCATTTTTTAATGAAGGGACTGGAAATGAAAGTCCCCAGGATTTGGAGAACATACGCGCCCCTAGGTCTAGCACTGGCGACCACGAGCGTCAGTTTCGACAACGCACGACTCCCGAGGTCTGCAAGGGGGGTTCCCTGGGCGTCTCGGCCGCAGCTTTGACCAGAGGCGGGGGCAGGAAGCAGGTGGGTGGGAGCGCTCGGGCGCCGGGAGCCTCGGCCCCAGATGCAGTGACGCGGCGCCAGGCAGGGCACTCCCGACCCCGGGACGCCGAGGGCCGCCCGGGTGTGGGGCGCCCGAGCCCGCGCGCGGGCGGTCGGCGACCGCGCTGCAGCTCCGACCGCGCCGCCCGGTAGAGGGCAGCGGCGCCCCGACACTCGGGTCCTCGGGTCCCTGCGCACGTGCCCACCCGCGCGCCCCGCGCCTGGCCACGCCCTGTCCCAGAGCCAGGCCCCTGGCGGGAAACGGCATGGCCACCTCTGGCGACTCCTGTCCCGACGCAATGCCACATCTAAAGGTTTCTCGTATCCCACACTTGAGGATACGTCTGCCTTTCCCTCCCATTTGTGCGGTGGCAGACAGGCGAGACCTCGGAATTGCCCTAAAGGTGACTAGACAAATAAAAAGTGCAGGGGTTAAAAAAAAAAAATCCCTCCGGTGGGGAAGGCTCAAGAAAGGATCAGGGAAACGGTTTGGATTTGGTGCAGATGTTCTCAATCTAATTATCGTGTCGATCCCCAGGGTTTGAACCAAAATAAAGTGAAATATATATGACCTGTGTAATACTCCAGAAATACATCTGGTTGGAATTCAGGATTCTGAATCCACGGCAATATTTCAGAAATAAATTTTGATGTGTATTAAATACCCTGGGTCACATTTCTGGTAATATTTACGTTATTTACATGTTAACTGGACTTAGGCGAAAAAACACTACATTGAATGACCCAGATGTTAAGCTCTCTTTAAAATAAAATTTAGATTTTTTTCCTACCAACGTTTTAAGTTACACAAAGCTAACTGCTCTTTGAGGTGGGAGGGAGAGTTTAGAATAACTTTGGGAGCACCACAAAATGTTACCACTTTTAAGGAAAAGCACTACAGATATGTCACTGATCAAAAATTAGCTGACTGAAAGAATCAGCAGAGACCTGAAAAAACTTTTTAAAGAACGTTTTACTTTTCTTGAGTGTAGATACAGAATAAGAACAACTTATAGCTAATTTAAAAGGTTAATTTCTTCCTTTTTTTTTACAGATTGATTTTCAACTTCCATGTAGTAGATCATGAGGACCTGCTAACATCCAAATATAGTAGATCTATATAAACTGTGTACTGTATAAAATATTCGGAAAGTGGAAAGGTTTTAGGACCTAGAAGTCTATTAGCATCTACAAGAATAATGGCTATAAGCACCTAGAACAAAGTGTGAGACAGTGACAGGTTGGCGAGATAACTGGCCCAGGAAACAAGAAGCATCTTGACTTGAAAACCGTATGACTTAGAATGAAGCACAAGGAAAACAACCCAGAGACATTGATGTTTAGGCTCTCCCTTTAGGGAAAGAAAACTTCCAGTTTCAAAGTATATGACTAATTCACCATCTCAACCTTTCAAAAATCAAGCCCCAAGTAATCAGATGGGAGGGCTGACCAAAATGATGTTTGTTCCTGAAACCTTTAAACAATTACAGTTTCATACCAGATCAGACAAAGAAATATGACTCCAGAATGCCTAAATTTCTTTTCTGACCGATTTTATCTTGCCTCAGAAAAATTCAGGGGCCATAATGATATTGTGATAATACTAATGAATGTAACTTACAGAACATTACAAAGCATTTCTGAAGTTCACACTTTCCTACCCTCCTGGCGTTGGCGGACCCTCTTGTCTCCCGACAGCTACATATACTTGATTAAATCAATTAAGGTGAAAATTGGCAAATTCTCTAAAATGCCATATGGGTTGATTATTACTAAATTGGTCCTCCTTTGATAGCCCCAATAAAGGAAAATATATTACTGTGTTTCCTAAAGATTCTAATTTAGTAATCGTTCTGACATAGTTAACCTAATTCCTTCAAGGACTTAAACATCAAGAATTTCTTCCAAACTGAAAAATGTCTTACAATGTAGGCCATTATTTAAAAAAAAAAAAAAAAAAAAGGCCATCCTCTTTACTCCTCACAAGAGTCCCTATCTTCTAAGATCTTATTTATAAAGAACTCTTAAAATTAAGTTTCACCTACGAACTTTATCTCCAGAAAAATTTGGAGAATAGTTTTTAACCCAATTCCAAGAATAATGAAAAAATTCAGAAATCTTATGTCCCATGGGATAGTTTTAAAAAGAAAACTTAAGAGATTCAATTCTAAAACTTTAATTCACTTTCTGAGTATTTTTGCTTTCAAATTAGAATTGGTTTTGAATAGTTTCCAACAAGAAATATTTCAGATAACCAAAGACAATACATAAGGCTAAATGCTTCATAATTTATTCATAAATAAACATAAAGACATGGCTACTTTTTGATGTCTAATTTAAAAAAATGATTCATACCCCTTATAAGTCATATGAGAATCTCAGTTTTACAAATAGAGAACCTGAGAATAATATCTAGGTATTTATTCATTCAAGTTGACTGAATCTGCAAATGTTTTAAATTTAGGAATATCTAAGTCCAGACAGCAGTGTTGAGACACTTCAACTTTGAAAAGGCCTTTTCCTTAAATCAAAAGATTATGAATAACAGAGGGAAATTACAGCATCTTCCTTTTCTCTGGCGACAGCCTTCCAGAACAATTTGGCATGGACTATTGGAATAAATGAAAGAAAGATTCCAGATTCTTTTTTTATTTTTTTTGAAGCTCAAGGAAACCAAACTACTTTTAATTGTTTTGTTTTTTTTTAAATAATACTTTATGTTAATTATTTCTGAGTACACGATTCACTGTACTATGTAAATACCCACCAAATAAAAGTACACATTTTGCTACATGTAATTACATGCAGAGTACATAATTCATCTCTATACGCCACATGTAAGTGTAGTTGTATAATTGTACCAAGAACCTGCCAAACTTGTAAGAACAAACTATAATGATTTCCAAACAGTAGACTCTCCTATTCACCACCCCTCAGCCCCTCTCTGGTGACAGCATTGCTCAGTTTCAAGACCCTTTTCTGGAATCTTCAAAGACTTAATTTCTGGCCCACCACTTAAGTCTGCTTTCCACTTCTGGACAGCATATGCCAAAGTCACTAGCTCTAGGTATCTTTCCACACCTCTAATGATTACGTTGTGTTCTCTGCATGTCTCAAACAAAAAGGCTTGCTGTTGGGTCTTTCAGACGGAGCTCCATCTTTTGCTTTGACAATACAGTCAGCTTTCCTGGTGGTTCAGATGGCAAAGAATCTGCCTATAAGGCAGGAGACCAGGGTTCAATCCCTGGGTCAGGAAGATCCCCTGGAGAAGGGAATGGCTACCCAGTCCAGTAGTCTTGCTTGGAGAACTCCGGGGACAGAGGAGCCTGGAGGGCTAGAGTCAGACGTGACTGAATCACTAACACAATGGAATCAAGGGCTTACTACCTTGGGACTTCCAACCCCTTGAGAGGGATCCAGGATTCCTAATCACCCCACAAGTTCCCAAATTCCGTCTCACCAGCCACATGGCCCCTGACTCAGTCTCTTTTTACCAAACTTATGTTTAAATATAAACTTTCTTGAAGTTCAGAGTTTATTAGAATATCACATCTCAATTCCCCCTTTGCCTCTGCTTCCTCATTAGAGGCCCACATACGTGTCATATTACATATTTCCTGTATGCTATTGAAATAAACACCATCCTGTATGACTCTCACTGATGTCACTGCTGAATCACTAGAAATTAATAGTGTATATCATCAGTAGTCTGAAAGGCTTGATATATGTCAAGGACTATATAAATATTATTATTATCTTGTTTAATGCAAAGTTCAAGTTCTGTGCTAAGGCCCTGTATTAATTCCTTTTCTCTCCTCCTGAGAGACATGAACCCTATGCATTCTATTTATACTGACCTTTCCTTATTAATATTGCTTTTAAAATACCAGTTTGCCATCCAATATTTTAAACACACAACTATGTCCCTGGTGCCAGGACTTCTAGGGCAGGGACACGGTTTTTGAAATTCTGTTCATGTCATAAAGCAAAATATTGTTTTGTTTCTCCGCAAGATACTTGATGACACATCTCTGCAGTTGTACACTTGGAGTTGAATGAAGATTTGTTTTCATGAAATGTAATTAGATTTTCTTTTGTCATAAGCGTTGTCAGACTATGTATTATTTTTTCCTGGGTAAGTGTGGTTTGTAAGATTTTGAAAGCTTGTTCCAGTGGAAAAGAGGGAATCTGATATATCTAGCAAGGAGTAAGAAAGTTTTTTCATTCTCTCATTCACATTAAATATTTGATCTAGTGTCAGCTTTGAGACTCTCTATTAGTATATCTTTAGAGGTTTAGTAGCTAGCAGGATCTCTTAGGATCTCTGACATCATAGGATGTCAGAATTTTGTTTGTGTGTCAGATAAAGGGAAGAAGCCAGGAAAGTGGGCCTCTAATCTAGCAATATTT